GAGAGTTCTGCGCGCCATGTGGGACCCTCCTCTGGTGGCCGGGGAGCAGCCGGGGATAGAACCGGCGCTGCAGAGGCTGCGGGCAGCTTCGCAACCCAGCGCTCAACCGCTGCGCCACCAGGGAGGCTAAGGGCTCTTTGAACAACTGAGTTGCCATGCCTCTCTGACAATTCAGTCAGTGCAGTGATGCCTCTTTATAATGCATCATAGAAGGCCAAACTTCTCAGTCTGATTCCATGCCCTGAAGTCATATGCAACTGTACAGCAGAAGCACTGACCTACCCTCAGAATGTACCTGCAGGATTGGATCCTTGTTTAACTCTGATAGTTGCAACCCTCTTTTAAGGTAAGGTATATAAGGTAACTTTATATTATACAAAATCTGCTATCAGGAAAGGACTTTCTTTAAGTTACAAAATTCTTGGAGAAAAGATACCTATATTAACTTTTTTTAGCAGGAGCTTTGTACACATTGCAAAATAACTATTTACCAGTTTATGCAGTCAGTAAGTTTACCTGTGAAGAATTAAATATGAATACAAGAACTCTCATATACAAAGAGAAGTAATCTCTTTTAGAAAATCCACCATAAATTGCTATGGCTGTGCTATGTTTGCCTAATCATAAGTCATATCTTTCTTTTGATGAAGTAATTCATATTTGAATGTTTTCATCATGAAAATAAGAGCCCATTCTAAATTATCTTTATGAGAAAGTCTATACTTTGGACATAAGATAGTCATTTCTCTTGAGGAAACAACACTAAAAGATATCAAAACTTGTTTTTAGCACAGAAACTGCAGCGCTAAATTTATTTAAAGAAATTCAATGTTTTTTATTTCAATTCCTGTGTCAAATGCCAGCATGGGGAGAATTTTTAGCATTATGGATTATCAACAGAATAGGACACAACAATATGAATGTATGGTTGCAATATGGGAAATACTATGCCATTCATTTTTATTATTTTTATAATTCAACATCTGTATATACTCTACTATGATTGCTACCAAAAGTCTAGTCCCCTTTTACCACTATCCACAATTTATCTATCCATTTCCCCCTGCCTTCTGATAACCGCCATTTTGTTCTTATAATCTAAGAAGAAATGAATGGAAATTCTACCTTCAATTTGAGTGGAAGGAAAAAAGTATTTTAACCAAAAACTTATAAAAAGCTATATATTCTTTTTTTTTTTTTTTTTGCAGATCAATTTATTTTATTTTATTTATTTTTTTTTTTTAAATATTAAATTTTATTTTTATATTCCCCCATACAATTGCAAACGCCCCATTCTGACCCCAATCCTTCCCCTCCCACCCCCCACCCCCCAAAAAGTGTCTCTGGTTCATAGTTTTTTGTTGATTTTGATTTTCACTTTCTTATATTCATTTTCCTGGTCCCTTATTTAAGTTTTCTAGATTCCTGCTATGAGTGAGACCATCCGGTATTTTTCTAAAAAGCTATATATTCTAATCTAGAGTCTAAGGATTAATTTAATCATTCTAGCATAAAGCCAATGAGATGGAAATTTGGGAACTCAGACAAGAAGTAAACAGAAACAGAAGGTAGGATTTACTTCCCAAGCCAACTAACATCAGGCAAAAATTGGTTAAATTTTTTTCTCTCTTTTGATGATGGATTCTTTCCCCACTCAAAAATGTGACCAAACAAGACATAAAATTCTATTAACAACAATTATCTTTGGGGAAGGGACAGGGGAGCAGGAGGAAAGCTTTGACTCTCACAGATTTTTCAGCATTACTGGAATGTTCTAATAATGTATGTGGAGCAACTTTTTAAAATGTAAATAGGAATTTTACAGTTGAAAGATGAATTAAATGCATTTTTGTTAAGTTTTATCACTAGTGCTTTTTCTGAGCAATATGAACTCATTTATGAAAATTAAGAAAGGATAAACAAAAATAATAATTTTAAAACATTTTCAACCCCCACGATCTATTCAAAGACAACAGCTGCTAGCTTTTAGATGCTTAATTTCCAGATTGTTTTCTCAGAGAGCTACTTATTTAACACTTAATATACAACTTTTCATATCAATTTATTTCTGCATCACCATTTTTATGGACTACATAAAATGTACCATAATTTACTTAATAAATCCATTATTGTTGAAATCACAGGTTGTTTTGATTTCATTCTTCTCCATCTCTATTTGTGCATTTGCCTCTTATTTCTTAGGATAAATTCCTAGAAGACAGTTTCTGGCCCAGAGAGAAGGCAATGTTTAAGGCATTTGATGAGAGTTGCCAAATTGCCTTTCAGGAAAGTTGGACCAATTTAGACTACCATTATCAGTATATCAGGATATCTGTTTCTTCCAAACCATCCTGTCACTCAATTTTGTCAGTCATTTTAATATTTGTCAATGATTAAAGGCTAAAAATTAAATGTCAATTTATTTGCATTTCTTTGAAATTAAATGTATTTTCTTCTTTTGTGAATTTCCTTTTCTCTGCCCTTATTATTTTTCCACTAATAGCTAATTTAACAATTTCCTCATAATTTCATCAAACTCTTTGTAAGTTAAGTACATTAACAAGTGTTAAGATATTTTGTCATATATTTTGCAATTATCTTTCTCAGTTTAGAATATTTCTCTATTGTTTCTTTTTTCCTTTTTTTCCATAGGTAAGGAAATTTTACATTTCACTTTCAAGTCTATTGAAAAAATGAACATAAATTTATAATGGCCAGACCAAATATAAAAATATAACCTTGACCTACGGCCTGCAGCTTACTGCCAAGGAAACCAAACCTGATATACAATAAACAATCCAAAGGCAGACTGATATAACAAACTTGTAGAAATAGATTTTTATCTTTATAATCCAGAAGTTAAACAATGACTTCTGTATCAATAGGCTCAAAAAGACCAGAACATCATTTTTAATTGACAGGTTGGCTAATTTTTGTCCCTTACTTCCAATATAGTATCAAGCAGAAAAAGTCAAATATGTAGCCCAAAACAATCAAGATGCTGCACTTCTAGTTTGACTGCTTATATGTAAAAGGCTTCAAGCCAAGCACACCTGAAGTCTTCATTTTTCCACTATAAAAGCGTTTCTACTTTTCTGTTAGTGTTAAGTCTCTCACAGAACTAAGTGAATGGTAGTAGCTAACTGATACACTATTGTAGCAAACTCAGAATAATCAGCCTTTGTTTTTTTCTTTTGGTTGTTATTTATTTCCACATTATCTATATATTATCATATTGTTTCTCCTTTGGTAATATACAAAGCACCCCTTCATTATCACCAATTTATGTGATTTTTAAAATTGTATTTACTTATGCTTTATCAATGGGGCAATATAACATGTTGGTTTAAAGTGCTGGTTAGGAAACTAGACTATTTGTATTTTGATATCTGTGCTGCCACTAATTAGTTAAATGACTTTAGCTAAGTTACTTAACCTTTTGGGCCTCAGTTTTCCCATGTGTATATGGGTATAACATTAACTCTACGAGGTTGCTGTGAAGAGCCTGTGAGTACTTAGAAAAATATTGAACATAGAGTTGGCAGATAATATATGTTAAAAATTCTTATAATTTTTCAAGCACTTAAGGATCACATTTCTGATTCTAGGAGGTTTTTACATGGTACTTACAGGAAGTGGCAGGCATACTCTAAGAATCAATTGAGGAATTGGTCTTGATTTTAGTCAATTAAAGCTCAAAAAAACATGACATAATTCTTCACATTCAGATTCTAATATAATATCTCAAGAGAAGGTATAAAAAGCTTCTCTTTAGAGGAAAAAAAAAGTATATGGTGCTTCCAATTAGAGAGAAAACTTGCACATATCCCTGCTTCTTTATGTTATTCCTTTACTAATAACTAATTAAAGATTCATTTTTATCTTATATAAGGAAAAAATCTGTAATAATTTAACTGAAGTTAATTATTTCTACTAAGCTTCAAATATGAATTAACTTAGAAACCTCTTCAGAAACTTTTCATTTTCCATAATTTATTACAGTAAAATGAGTATTACATAGCTGTATTCTCTTTTCTCCTTTTGGTGTTATTATAGTTACATATATTACATCTCTCTATATTTGTAATACAAAAATATTACTGCCTACATAATCCTATGTCTTTCAAAGAAACTAAGAAAACAAAGGAAAGCAAGTATATATTTATAGTGTTTATTACATTAACATTTTTATACACCTTGCCTGGCTCTCTTCATTTGTCCCTGTAAATAAATCATCATGCATCATTTCCTTACTCCAATTTCCTTACTCCTTCTCTCCCAGCACTACTGTATCATTTCTATATGGTAATCTCAAAAATATGTTAGTATATATATGGATATATATGAACATATACATCATTATATTAATGGATTAAAAAAAGGAGAAAATATATGAATTTACAATATCATACAATTACATCATTTCTGTTTTTGATGCTTGTGTCAAAATTACTAAGAATAGTTAAATCTATAGAGACAAAAAGCATATTAGTGATTTTCTATATCTGGGGATGGCTGGAATTGTGAGCAATTATAATGGGTACAGTTTCTTTCTATGGTGATGAAGATGTTCTAAAATTTATATTGGTGACTGTGGTACAACTTCTTGACTATACTAAAATTCTTTGAAATTTATTCTTTAATTTGATGAGCTTAGACATACATTTTTATAAAGCTTTAAAATCTGCTGGTATTAATTTCTTTATACCACATATAAGATGTAAATTTAGAAACTTGTCACTTAAATCTGGTCCAGGTATGGCTATTACTCCTTGAGTGTACTTTTTCTTTCTCTTAATAATTTTATTTACGTATGTATATGTTTACATCATACTTTTTTATTACGATGCATGCTTACTCATCTCAGTTATAGTCCCCATGAAATTCCCACCACCAATTCACCTGTGTGCCATCACCATATTCCCTTGTATTCTTCCCACCCATTTTGATTTTACTCCCTTTTCCCCCTCTGCAGAATATCTCTAGTTTATTGGTTCTACCTTCTGAGACATCTTTCCTTAATCATGAAAGGTAGCTTGTTGCCGGTAGTTTTCTCAGCTCTCTGAAAAAGCTTCTACCAGCAGAACTAGGGAGTTCTAAATTCCTCTTTTCATTGCAGTTCTACTGTCACTAGGTCTTTCTGTTCAACAGGTGATGATTCTGCATATTTAATCCTTTAAAATCTTTATTATTCTTTTCTGATTTAGTAGAGCTTATGCCATTAGATAAAAGTCACACACATGGATTTCCCTAATATAAGCCCTTTCTATTTCTGTATTTTGAGTTTGGGATGAAAAGCCTGATAGAAAATACCCTTAGGTTTCCTAAAAACCTGTTCAATATGCGTGCCACATGATTATTTTCTTTATAGAGCATTTTATTTGACTGAATAGTGCCTTTATATACCATGATTGATCTTCATTTACAATCACACCTTTGGCTAAGGCAGTGTGCTGGGTTTTATCTTTTCTCAGAAACTATTGCATAACTTTACATAACTTTAGCATTTGTTCTCTATAGAGACAAAAATTTAAAAATCATCAAGTTCTAGCTCCTTCATGTTTAACAACAGGTTTTTAATTTACTTCTCTGCTCTTGAATTTCATGTTAAGTAGCAAGAGAAAAACAGTATCACATGCACAAGTTTGACTGGAAATATTCTTAGTCAGACATCCAACTCACTATTTATGTTTCCTGCTTTCAACATAATTGATGGTGTCCTTGTTATGTACTTTCTGCCACTATATAACAAAGATCTTACTTCCTTCAATTTCCAGTAACATTTACCTCATTTTTCTAAATGTCCTCACAACCTTATCTCTAACCATGATATTGCTAGTAGTTTCTGAAACTACTGTAAGTTTTCCTTAACAATCTATACAAAGCCTACTGCTTAGTATCAAAGTCATTCCAACATTTTAGGTTTTTTGATAATGGCAATACTCTACTACTGTACTCTGTGACAGTATCTCTATTACTTATTTATTTCTTATCTACAAAAAAAGAAATGGAAGGACACAAACATTTCTTATTCACAGTTTCTATGAATCAGAACTTTGGAAGTGGCTTAGCTGGATAGTTATGACTCAAGATCTCTCATGAGTTTACAATCAAGCTACTGGCTAGGGTTGCAGTCTCATCTGAAAGCATGAATAAGGAATCATTTGTTTCCAAGTTCAACCATATGTTTTCTGGGATACTTCAGTTTCTTCTAATTAAGTTCCATTTCTTAAAAAGCAGAGCATGAAAGAATTCATGGATATATCTTTTAAACCACCAGAGCTTAAATACTAAACATTTCTTTCTAAGCACTGCTTTAAATGCATTACACAAATTATGTTATTTTGTGGTTTTGTTTTTATTCGGTTCAATACTTCCTCACTGCGAAACTTCAGTTAAAACCTCTCATTCAGTTGTAACATCCATATGATGCTTTCTTTGAGATTTTCAGGTAAAGAGGCCCATAAGATGACTACCCCAAACTGTATTCTTCTAGGTCATAAAAGGGGGAATAGTGATTACTACTATCCCATTACCTATTGTCTCAGCACTGTTCAGATTCAAGCAAACAAACAAAATAAAACCCCCAATTTCATATTTGCCAGTCTAGTCCATAGAATCACTCATCATATAAATCCTGTATCAGTCAGTGTGCAATACAAAGAGCCACAGTGAGTAAAGCAGAAGTAAGGAGAAACAAAAAATGGAAGACAATGGGATGAGAAAGAGAGGATCTGTTTTCCTACAATGTCCCTCCAACCTCTCAACTCTCAAAATTTAACACCTTGATCTCTATATAGGAAAAATGTTTGAAGGATCAACCTCTATTATTGTAAAGCACACTTAATAGTAAGTTTTTCCCCAGAGGCAATAAATTTACAACTAACACAAGTACAAATGTAACTTGTGGGAATTACACTAAATGAAGATTCCAATTTAGTTGGTTTTAGGTGAAGGGACTTAATTCTAAGCTGTTTGCTTTATCTGATAAGTCCAAGTAAGCTCCTAATAACATCAACTATCTTAACAAAAAGAGTTATTAATTCTGGAAAAACATGAAAGTCTTTATGTAGCAGTTTTAGAGTTTTAGGAAGCAGATTTTAGAAAAGAGTTAAAACACAGCAGAAGGTATCACAACAGGGTCAGTTTTCATTATTTTTGCTATCAGTCTCAATGCAAAACAGCCATATCCTCATGAAAGACAACTATAAAATATCTAAGACACAATATTTCTGGTGTGAAAAAAGAGAGAATAGAATTTAGAACAGTTCCAGCTGCTGGAACATGAAGTGTTTGAGGTGAGGCAGGAATCACAAAATTAGAGAGCCCTGGGGTCATATACTGTGTATAAATGCGAATATCTGTCTGATAACTGAATTATCCATGTGTAAGATAGACTGCAGTTTACAAGCAACCCAGACAGTGGGGAATAAACAAAAAATTTACTGAGATTTGAGTTTCCACTCAAGTTAGCATTTTGATTCCAACCAAATTTACTGTCTGCTGAGACAAAAAAAAAAAAATCTTCTGTTATATGAAATAATCCAAGTTTTTATATGATAGTCTTAATGTCCAGGATATAATCCAAAATTACTTAAAATACAGCAAAACATTCCATTTTAAAATGGAAAATCAACCAATAAATTTCAACGTTGAGATGAGCTAGATATTTGAGGTGGGAATTAAGGACTTCAGAGCAATTGTCATAATCATAATCAATAAGACATAGGAAAATACGCTCATAATGAATGAAAGATAGGAAATCCAAACAGAAGGTATGGAATAGAAACAAATGGAAGTTCCAGAAGTGAAAAAATATATTTTCTGAATGAAAAAAATCACTGGATGGACACAAGAACAGAATGACAATTAAGAGGAAAAAGTCAGTGAAGTTAAAATTAGATCAATAAATAAACATAAGTAGCTTCTAATGTGTGAGAAGAGAGAACAATGCAGGAAAAAGTTTTGGGGGATAATGCCAAACACTTCCCAGTTTGATAAAAGATATAAATTTACAGTTTTAATAAGTGCAGACAAAGACAAGTCAGATGAGACCAAAAATAAAGAAAACATATTGAAAACAGCAGGGTAATATGGCACATTTTATTCAGGAGAGCAATTTACCTAACTGTTAACATCTCATCAGAAATTATGGAGGGTATAGAAAATGGAATTAAATTCCAAGGTTTTGAAAAAATACCAGATACCTCAAATTCAAGTAATAGAAAAACAAGAGAATTCACCAAACATGTATTATAAAAATGGTTTAGCAAAATTATTCAAGCTGAACGAAAATGATTACAAATAGAAACACATTCAAGAAAGAGTGAACAGCACTGGAAATAGTTTTTATATATTTATATATACACAAAAAATATTTTTCCTCTTTGTTTAAAATGTATGTGCCTATTTAAAGCAAAAATTATGACTCTTGTATACTTTATAATATGTATACATACAGTATAACAGTATATGCAACAGGTAGAAAGGGTTGGTCAGATAGGGTAGATAGTCCTATATAGTTCTAGCATTTCTGCATTTTTATCTAAAGTAGTATGATATTAGACAAAGTAGGTCACAAAAAATATAAAGATGTATATTTAGTCCACAGAGGAAATGCCAGAAAGTCTATAGAAGTGGGCCTCCCCGGTAATGCAGCGGGTTGAGCGCAGCACTGTGAAGCTGTCCGCAGCCTCTGCAGCATGGGTTTGATTCCTGCCTGGCCAGGGAGATACCTACAAGGTGCAGCAGACCCCTCCTGTTTTGCCTGTTGCTCCTCTCAACAGTGTTTTCGGTCCATCTGCCTGTTCTGCTTCCTACTCTGTCTCTGTTGAATCTTCTCACCCTCCCGTGCCTCTGGCCGTACCCCAGTTCTTGTAAAATAAAAAATAAATCTTTTTTTTTAAAAAAGTATATAGAAGTATAGATAAAAAAAGCTGATAAATAAAATAAAATGAAAGTCTAATTCCATTAAAATAACTCAAAAGAATATAGAATAGGAGAAGAAAAGGAGAAAAACAGAATCCAATAATAAAATGGAGAACTAAATCCAAACATATCACTAATTACATTAAGTGTCAATGGGCAAAACACTCTAACCAATAGTAACAAGAAACTAACCTAACTCTATGCTGTTTAGAAGAAACATACTTTAAAAAACAATGCAAAAAGCTAAAAGTAAATGATTAGGAAATCGTATATTACACAAACTGTAAGATGACTGGAGTAACTCTATTTGCTTAAGATAAAATGGACTTTATAATAAAGAGTATGACCAGAGTACTAAATGAACAATTATGAAAAAATGATTCTATCAGGAATACATAATGAGCAGAAATACATGTGTATCTAATAATGGCTTCAAATTAAAAGGATTCTTGCTGATCCCACAATCATAAATGGAGATTTTTAACATCTCTTTTTTTATTAGTTGATGGAATACCAGGCAAGCATCAGTGAACATAAAGATCTGTCAACTATTTTGATGGAATTGATAGTCATAAAACTGTACAAATAACTGGACATAAATTCCATTTTAAGTATACAGGGTATATATAATCAAGATAAATCATATCTTAATACAAATCCCTACAAATTCAAATGGGCCAATTATTATATAGAGTATGTTCTTTGTTTTTTCCCAAAGATTTATTTATTTATACAAGCACTGGGGTACAAGCCAGAGGTGCGGGAGGCTGAGAGAATTCACCAGAGACAGAGCAGGGAGCAGAACAGGCAGAAAGACCGAAGCACACTGCTGAGGGGAGCAGCAGGCAAGACTGGAGAAGTCTACCACGCCATGTGGGAATCTCCCTGGCTGGCCAGGAATCTGCTGGGGGGGGGGGAGGGCTTGCTGCCCCAACCAGGTAAGACACTGGCAAGCAGCTAAGAAAAAGGGCCTCACACCAAGGAGCCAAAGTTTAAAGAGCCTCACACCATGGGGCTGAAGAAAAAGGGCCCCACACCATGGGGCTGAAGACTTTTAAAGAACCTCACACCATGGGGCTGAAGATTCCTTGTGCCTCACACCGTGGGGCTGAAGATTGG